AAAATTATAATATATATATATATATACACTTTTATTATTTTGTTATCTGTATCCATAAACTATTTAAAATTCCACCGTCCCCATAAATATGACGCTTCCACTTTTTATTTTATTTCAGGCATCTCAATAGTAATAAAGTTACAAAAAATAAAATAATTACCAAAGATCTTCTGCATTCAAAATATAAATTCCTTAAAGCATGACATTCTTGTGGTACTGAATGGTGATATGACATCAAGCATTCCTTGGGAGTCTTCTTTTCCTTAATAATACGAAACATAAGCTTTCATTTCCTTTATCTTTTTAAGATTGCATTAGTTTGTTATACAAAGTGTAACAAACAAAATGTAATTATATTTACCGAAATAGTTTACAATAATGTTAAATTAAATATAAAGAAACAAATAAAAATTTATTTATAATTTTATTCAAAAATCAAAGGGAAACTCCCCTTAAATGATTTAAAATGCTTAATTAAATAATATATACTTTCTTTTTTAAATCATAAAATAATTAACATAAAATATAAAAATAACTTATTCGCGGGCATATGTTAAAATTTTACATGAATTGAGTATATAGTTAATAATTATTAACGTCAGTGAGGAGTCGATTGTCTTCCCAACAATTTTTAAGAGATTTACATTTAAATACTTACAATTTTAACACAATCCGTAGCTTTTAGACACTGGATTAAATCTTGTTTAACGCCTGAACAAGGCTTATTATCTTTTTTTACAACATCATCTACATCATATACTGGCATTATTTAAGTATAAATTATAAAAATTAAGATATATATTAACTTTAAATTCTTAGGAAATAAAACTTTAAATAAGCTAAAGATAATAGTTTGTTTATTTAAGTAGTTCTTCGCTACCTATTTCTGTTATGATTAAAGCTTTTGTAGACTAGCTAGAGCTAGAGCTTTTGTAGACTCACAGTACTGGTTCTGGTTGAACGTAGTGCATTTTTTTCAGCTTTAAACTAGAGCAATTCTGTAATTTTACTAATTATTTATGTATAAAAACTGAATAAACTCGACAAATAGAGTGTTACAGATCAAAAATGTCAACGGGAAGATTTCTATTTGTGTCTTGGCCACCAGAATTACTATCTTTGTTTGCCAAGATTTGTGTAAAAGCTTTGTGTAAAAGCCAGAGGTATAAACAAACACTATAGAGGATTGTTTTTTCTTGAAAAATAAATCAAAATGAATCCTCTGACGTAAGTAAAAAATATCAATCTGTAATCTATGTTATACACATGTTAAAAATTTATTCAGATATTGTATTTACTTATAACATTTAATTGATATGTCAATCAGTGTGTTTATCAATGATCTGAATAAAATCTCAGGCCTTTCAGATCCCTACAATCAAATATTAAGAATATCGTCTTGCCCAATTTTCAAACATTTCTTTTTTATTGAAATTTTCTATTCTTATAATGTGCTGACAACAACAACTCAGTTAATATATGAATGCAAGTATAGTTAAATAAAACCGCGATTTAGTAAGGATGAATGATTGTTTAAAAAATAACTTGATTAAAGACAATAAAATCTAAAATGTCTTATGCAATAAAATTAATATTATTTACAAGGTACATCAGAATAAGGCACACCAAAATATTATTGAACTTTACTTCAGTGCAAAATAAAACCTGAATTTTGTGTTTACAAATTATGAAATAAAACCAAAACTTATATAGGCCTACCAAACCAAAACTTATAAAACCTACTACTTATTAGTTTCTAACAACTTAAACAGCTTTTATGTATATAAACTTAAAACTACATCCCAGGAAAAACAAATGTTAAATTGGTTAAAAAATTGTTTTTATCCCGTTCAAAACTGATATTTACTCTTAATTCAAGGCAGTCTTTAGCAGGAAAATTGAAATGTAGAACACAGCAATAATTCTGATTGCTTTTTTTTTTGTATGATTTTTAGTCTTAGATTTGTCATTAAATAAACAAGTATTACCAGTGGTTCTAATTGAACTTAAAGACGAAACTGCAAAAATTACCCTGGAAGCATTCGTCTCTCTAGAGGGTCTATTCTAGCATTCTAAACACAAATTTCAATGTGAAAAAAAGCCATTTCTTTACTTTCTTTCCTTGTTAATTTTAGATAGATATCTATAAAAACGTTTTACTCTGAAAAATAGTATATTTCATGTTATATATATTTTATGTAAAAACATTTTCTATCTTAATGTATTCTGTGCTATAAATGAGGTGAAAGCTTTGTGCTTTATTTATTTTATATTTATTTTGCATAAGTTTTGTTTGCATTTATTTTTAAATATTTTTAGAAATGTGAAGAATATAACTAAGCTGAATGAAATTGAACTATCAAAAGGGACAACTGACAAAAAATCATGGCACGACATCTATAAAGACAGTGCTTGGATTTTTATAGGGGGCTTAGCATATGGATTGACTGAGGGAGATGTTTTAGCTGTATTTTCTCAGTACGTATTTTAGATATTTATTTTTTGGTTTGTTAAAGTAACAGCTAATTGGTTAATATTATATATACTTTAATTTTAATGTAATATCCATTTTTACCTTTATTTTCTTATTTTAATTTAAAATTCATTAATTCTATTTGGGTATATGTTAAAGGTATGTTGTAACCTGAAGTACATATATTTAAGGTTACCTTAGCCTTAAGTATTATAGCCAAGTACAGGAATTTAAGCAATTACAAATTTCGTTATGAAATGTTTAAAAAAGCTTTGATTTAATGGACAATTGAATTCATTAACCCTTTATGTCACTGTGTTGCATATCTAAAAGAAATACAAAAAGTATTTTAGCAAGAGAGATTTGACGATTTCGTCAATTATTTTAATCCTGTAACATTATTCTTAACACAATAATTGTTCAACTTTTTTCTACTACATGGAGATACTGATGTGAGTTTTAGAATTCAAGTTCAGTTTGTTGCTTACAAAGTTGCTTATGTTCGTTTCAGAAATATTACTCAAATTGTATTTTATGTGTATTGAATGTGAACTCAAGTGTATTGAATTGCAATTTTGGAATATTTGAAACTTTATTTATTTAGAAAGTTGCAGAAATGCAACAAGCCATTTTTTCAATATTTTTTTTAATTTTATAATATACATTTTTTCGTATGCTCAAAAAAGATGTATTCTAATGTATTAGCAAATTTTTTTTAAAAATCAGAATTGTTGAAATACTTCGATGTTAAGCATTTATAATGTAATGGTATTTTCTTTTTGTCTTGAAAGCTATGTATTTTTTAACTGCTTTATTACTGACTTTTACTTTAGTTTTATTTTTCTGTTACTCGATCTTATGTCTATCTCCTGATTTAAAAAATATTTAAATTAGGGAGTCATTACATTTTTGATGTTTCTCACATTGTCATTACTTTTTAGTTTTCCAATTTTAATTCCTAACCTTAACCTTTGATTGTTAACTGTTATGCTATTCTTTTATTTTGTTACAATATTATTACAGTAAAACTAGGATTTAACCTCAGCCATAAATAACGATTTTCTGCTTTTAGTATGCTTGGTTCCATTCTATATCCATAATGTAAAAAAATCCTGGCATTTAGAGCATCAACTAATACTATAACCTTGGAATACTGAAGTTCCAGAAAAAGATCGGAAAACTTACATGTTTAAAAGAAAGTTAGTTTTAGATCAGTTTTGACTGAGAATAATACTGACAGCATTTCAGAACAGAATGCTGATCGAGATAACAACTTTATGGGGTATTCACAATCATAAGTCAATAATGATAATAATGTGATGACTTGTGAATCAGAGGCAATGTCAATAGATGAAATTATGAAATCTGGTACTGATAAAGAAGACTGTGAATTTTCAGATTCACCACCATCATTTCATGAAGCAACACTTACTTTCGTTGTCTTCATAAAGTTAAAAAAAGAGTAAACAAACATAAATGTAAGGTTTTTTCATTAAAATAATAAAATTTTGTCTTTACTAAAAAAATTACATTGAAGTTTCTAATTGTGCTTAGGTATTTAACAGAATATTCTTAAATTGGTACACATTTAATCTTTAGTTTTCATGGGAATTTTCATGTCCCAAATATAGTATCATTCCCTTATTTATGACGTTTAATCGAGGTTCTACTGTAATTGCAGATATTCATGAGACACTCTTCAATCACAATCTTATAAAGCTATAAGGACTTTTATTTTTTTCAGGAGGAAAATAAAAACTTCAATTCTGTAATAAGTGATGCATGTCTTAAAGTGATGTATGTTATAAAAATAAATGAAAGTTGGTACCTTTTTTTTCAAGATTTAAAAATTTTTCTTTAAATTGAGGGAAAATATTTTTGTCTTTTTACATCTTTCTGTTGTTAAAATGTGTCTAGTAAATATGTTTTAAGTAGTAAATGATCTATGAACATAATCAATATTACTCAGCAATTTTTATTATTAAATATTATATGTAATTTTTATTTTTGTATTTGATAAAGCTAGGTAAAAGAGTTTTTCTTTTATGTTTTTTTTCTCCAATTATATAAAAAGAAAGGGGAAAATTAACTTTTACCTTTTTTACTTTACCTTTTTTTTCTTATGACCATTAGCAATTCTATTATTTACTCACTAATTAATGACATCACATCTTTATTCTAATAATGTATTTGTTTTCTCAGGTATGGCGAAATTGTAAATATCAACCTTGTTCGAGATAAGAAAACTGGAAAAATTAAGGGCTTTTGCTTTCTTTGTTATGCAAATCAAAAGAGTACAGTTTTGGCCGTAGATAACTTTAATGGCATCAAAGTTAGTATTAATTTCATTATGAACTTTTATCTTGTTTTATTCAAAATAATAAAAGAAATAATAATCAAAATAAAAATGGCGATACTTTTTAAATATTTTGTGTTAAATACTAATTACAATTTTAAACTGTTTCTTATAACTCATTTATCAACTCAAAGAAGAAATTTAAGCTGTTCAAATGTTGCCATATGCTATAAAATATTTTAATAGATCAAACAGAGCAGTGAACTAGCATTAGAAGTCTGAGGGGAGATCTTAATTATCATAAAGATGCCTTTCGTATTTCTAGAAATTTTAATTTTTGACAAATTCTATGTTTTATATGTGTTATATAATCAGCTTTCAACTATGGTTAGATCAAAAACTAAATTTACACCTGCTACAGTGAGAGAATACATTTTTATGTTTTGTTCCATTTCTGAGTACTTCGAGTACGAAAGTACTTTAAGAGTTTCAATGAATTTTGATTTAAATTCTTATAATTCTTAAAGCATTGAAATTTGACTCTTAAAGCATGAAAATTAACTTGTAACTCTTAAAGTACTTTTCAATGCTTTAAGAATTATAAGAATTTAAATCTAATTCATTGAAACTCTTAAAGTACTTTTGTAAAAACAGCAGATTCATTCTTTAAACAAATGTTCATTATATTGTTAATTAAAGTCAGAGTTAAAATCTCTATTTAAAGTAACACAATATTTAGAATTGAAAATATTTAATATATTTACAATAGAGTGAGTAGACTATGATAGAGTGAGTAAATTATATTAGAGTAAGTAGATGATAATAAAGTGAGTAGATGATAATAGAGTGAGTAGATTATAATGAAGTGAGTAGATTATTGTAGATTAATATGTAATAGCATTACAATGAATTTTTATAACTCTTAAAGAGTTATAAAGCTGTAAAACATTTTTGTAAAGCCAGTGGATTCATTTTTTCCCCAGACAAATAATCTTTTGATTTTTAATTGATATCAAAGAGTTAAAATCTTTATTTAAAGTAACACAATATTTTGATTTTAATTTCAATGCATTACTATGATTTAATTTTTCAATAAGTTGCTAAATTTATTTTCTTTTTGCCTATTTTATAACTGTGTTTTTTTTAAAAATATTTTTTATATGTAGTTGAATTGACATTTAGATTAAATTAGTGTTTTTTTTTTCTTTCTGAAATACAGTATAAATATTAAATACTTTTTATAATATTTTTTGACTGAGTTTCTATTTCTTATATTTTTTGTATTCAAGAATTAGAGGTTCCTAAAATTACTTATTTAACCTGTCATTGTGTAATCAGATCTTCAATTTTTATATTTTATATAAAATCAAGTTTATTTAATTAATATGTCTTTAATTAATTTATTAATGAAACTGTAAATGTCATTAATATTTTAAAAATGTTAAAAAGTCACTTTTTTATTAGTGTATAGGTTTCTTGATATAGCTATTTTGGTGCAGTTTGCAACACAACCGGCATTCAAAACAAAATGACTGAAAATATCTCTCTTAAAAAAATTTTAAAAAGTTTTTTTAATTTTATTAGTTTATAGTTGTTTTTTTGATGTAGCTATTTTGATGCAATTCGCATCCTAACTGGCATTTCAAAATAAAATGAGTAAAAATATTCTTTTGAAACATAGAAAATCTAAAATAAATTTGTTAAGAGTTTGACGATGATGCGAGAGATGGCGACCTTAGCAGACTCCTTACAATTTACAAAAGTTAAGAGTATTAAAAAATTATGAAAATCTTCATTATTTGTTAATTTTGAAAATCTTGCTATTTCTTTTAACCCTGAAACCAAGGAGAAGCCTCCAACCTTCTGGGAGCAAGTTCAAATCACAAGGGATGGAACAAAAGGCACCTTGATATGCAGGAAAGGATCTCATTATTTAAGATTAATTGAAAATAGACTTTATCAAAAGTCAAACCAATCATAACCTACCAATGAAAATTTAAAAGAATGTTACAAAATTATGACAACCATATATTGATTACAATTTTTCATGCTATTTTGTTGGCAGTTAAAGAACGAAAGTCTAAAAATGAAATTTGGTATGAATTTTTCTATGACTACATTGAATAATAAGCTAAATGTTTTTATTGTTATTGAGAAAATGATTGAAGAATTAAATACAAAAATTTAACAATTAAATGAAATTAAAAACCTATGAGGTATCTAATGTTCTTAATGGCATGGCAATTAGTTTAACTTGTCATATTTTTCTTTTTAGCTACTCAACAGAACAATAAGAGTTGACCATGTTTCAAATTACAAGCCACCTAAAGATAATGAGCATGATGATGAATTAACAAAACAACTGAAGTCAGAGGGCTGTGCGCCAAAGCTTATAAAACACGAAACTTCACCTGTTCCAGTGGCATCTTCAAAAAAGAAAAAATCTAAAAAGGGTATGGATAATTATTGTTGATTGATGACAAACGTGTTTATTCTTTTGCACACATGATCAGATGACTGATAAAGTTTTTAAACATTATCTTTTTCATTAATGTCTCTCAATAAAGCAAAGTTATATACATTAAAAGGAAATTGTCATTCATTCAATCTAATATCATTTGCTGTTTCTTTGGCATTTCCTGTAGAACGTTTTTTTTTTAAATTTTTTTTTCATACAAAATTTAATGTCTATATCTTTCAAAGTTAGTATAATAATTTTTAAAATTTATCTTGCAGTCTGTTTTCCCTTAAAACTAGAGCCTTCAATATCTGTTTCCATTACAGAAATGTGGATAACTACAAATCTTTATGTTTTGAAGTTTTATTGTTATATCAATGTATTAAATAGAAAATATTAATTAAATGTTTTATTATTGCTTTCATAAACTTTTGTCCTTAGTACTTTGCTAGTTTTGATTAAACTTGTATGTATGCCTGGATTGTGATAGCTGTAGAACAATCATAGTTCTATTGGGAAAAAAATCTTTTCCAGATTTTTAGTTATTTTCAATAGATCTATGATGATTCCATAGTTTTTTGCAGATGTTGCTACTAGATAAAGTCACTGGTCACCTTTGTTTATTGTAAATTTTTCTTTAAAAAAATTTCTATAAATGTTTCACAGGTCAAATTCTGTTTTAATACATCATCAATTCATAAAGATACAGTGTAATTTAAAATATAATTTGTATAAATAAAATGTGTTAGTCAAAAAAAGTATTTCACTGCTTTTAGAAAAATAAAACTTTTTCTTCTTCTTGGCACTACAGGCCAGGGTCATCCCAAGGAGTTTGCCAAGATACTTTATATGTTTTGATTTGATCTTTTTTATTATGTCTGGTTGATTTTATAGATTTCATGATTATAAATAATTCACTAGACATTATATATTAAGTAAAGAATTCAAAATTTTAAAGCAATTAAAAATAATACTTCCAATGGAAAAACACGCTTAGCAGTGAATCCAAAAGGAATTGAAACGATTGAGACAATGAAAAAAATTGGATAAATATGACAACCAAAGCTGACGTCTTCTAAGGGTGTACCAGCTCCGGAAGTCATAAAAGCAAAACCTTTTCGATTGAGAGAGCAAGACAAAGGTCTAAAATTGCCCTCTCTATACCCCTAATACTTGATATTATTTTCTTGGATAACACTAAAAATTTTGTGTAGTATTTTTCTTTCCTTTTAATTATTAAAAATGGAAATCATAAGATGAAAAACATAAGAAATAGTAAAATTACCCGATCAAATTGAACTCATTACCTAAAAATTATAAATGTAGTGAGGAAAATAAAAACTTGATGATTTTGTGTTGTAAATCAATTGCTGAACAAAAACATATTACATGCCTTAGCTTCTAAGTATTGCAATCAAAACATTTTATTTTACAAATACGTAATTTTTTTAAATATATTACTGCCTGTGTCATATTAGTGCAGAAATAATTAAAAAAGTTGTCTTTTAAATAACTTCATTTTTAAGATTTGAATATCTTGATTTTTTAAAAATAAAATAAAATAAATTTGTTCTGAATTAATAAAAATGTGTTTATTGGTTTGCTAAGACAATTTAGATGTACTGTATCAAACATTTGTGTTAAAGAAGTTAAAATGAATTTTAATAATTCTTAATTTTGCAGAGAAAAAGAAGCATAAGAAAGATAAAAAGGAGGCAGGTGTAAAATCCCTTCACAAAAAACCAAAAATTAAAAAAGAGAAGCATGATCCGGGATATGATAAATATGAGTTGCCTCAAATCAGTTCTAAGCAATCTAGTAAATCAAAGAAAAGTAGAACTAGTGATAGTGAATCATCTACTTCTGGAGAATCTTCTGATGAAAGCTTTGTGAATGAAAAGAGTCAGTCTAAAGAAAAAGCAGAAAAATTACATAGCAGAACTCTAGCCAGTGACTTTACTGTACACAATAAAGATGCTGGTGATAAATATAGCTCCAGCCGAAAACGTAATTTGAAAGAATCAGAAAGTGACTCTGATGATAATTATGTGAAGCAGAAAAAATCTAAGGCATCCCATAACAAAGATGAAAACAGACTTTCCTCTGATGTTCAATATAATAAGCACAGATCTCAGCATCGGCACAAGTCTGACTCTTCCGCCTGTTCATCTCCAGATGATGGTAGAAGGACAAATGTTCGAAAAGCCTCAAGCTATGAACGACATGACACTTCTCATTCTAATTCCTCCAGGAATACATACATGTCTGAAAATAGAATAAAAGGTGCTGTACGCCTGCGTCATGATAGCTCCAATAGTGAAGAAGCTCATCAGTCCAACTCTCGATCAAGAGAAAATAACACCAAGAATCAAGACTCACTTTCGAGAGATCGATCTAGAGAGATAGACACCACAAAATATTCTAGACATGAGAACTCTCAGTATCAAGATTATGGTCAAAGAGATACAAGAAACAATAGAAGTGATCGAGAGTATAATGGTGACCGCAGTAGTACTTATAATCGAGGTGATCGCAGAAATACTGATGTTGAAGATCATAGTAGGAATAATTATCCATCAGATCGCTGGAGTAATGATTCTAAAAATAACCGTATGCATTATGATGAGCAAAATAATCCCAGAAAACGTATTGATCAAAAAGATCGCAAGAGTTATGAGTATAAAAACGATAGTGAAAATTCTAACAGAGACTCGTCTAAGTATTCGAGAAGTGTCCGAAATATTAAGTCTTCCTCGACTGAAAGAGAGGACAAACATTATTCCAAACATAGAGATAGAGATGATTATAGAAAAGATTCATATGATAAAAAGAAGAGATAATTTTTTTATTGTTGTATTATATTGTTTTTTAATTAAATAACAGAACATATTTATAAAAGTGTTTTTACTGTCAACGAAAAATTGATATTTTCTTTTGTATGAGGCATCCAAACCAGGACCGAGGAGTTGAGTTAAAGAAAAGTACCATGGCCGTGGTGCTGATTGATTAATTGAAAGTTAGATTTATAGATTAAAGGAAGATAAAGAGTCTTAAAAGTTATCTTGACAAATATTTACAGCTCTCTATATCTTGAAAACTTTGCTATGTCAAAAAAATATTTTTCTCCTTGGCATTATATATCCACCTAATGTTAATTTTAATTCCTATGTCGAAGGGTTTCTTCTCAAAACCTCGTTTTGTCGAATTTTTTTCGAAAAAATCTTAATGTAAATTCCATTGTAAGTCAATTCTTTTCCATTTAATGCATAATTATTTTTGGCTTACTTTTAAAAATAAAACTATAATTGTTGTATTTAGACTTATAGTCAATTATTATTACATACATATTGATTAGTAATTATTCTTATGTTTCATGACTCTGCTTCTTAGAGTAATATTTTAGAATATATTTTTCTAATTTTTAGAACAAGTAGTTCTGAACTTGTAACAAAAACTCGCTGTCTCGAATTTTTTTAGCGCCCCTTTGACTTCGAGATATCGTTAGTATACTGTTTTACAATGTCAATAAAATTGTAACTCAAATGATTATTATGACAATTATTTAAATTATAACTTATCACAGAATTACTTTTAACATTTATATTAACATACAGAATTTCTACTTACTACAAAATTAGTTATGTTATAATATAAACTGTAAATGAATGAAATATATTTTTCATTTCATTTTGACTTTCATTTAGTAAATGAGCAACAGTCAGTGTGGGGATGTGGTCTAGAAAAGTTCTGGAATCGGAATTAAATACTTAAGCTACTCACTCCACAGTTCTGAGATGAATGTAGCTCAAAAGTTAAATTTTGAATAAAATAATTTCTTTTTAATTTAATACTCAAGTTTGTATTTAATTGTAAATTTTGTATTGTACAAAATAACTGATGAAGGAAAATACTTTGTTTACTTTTTCTGGTATTATTTTGATGAAATATCAGGCATAGTTTGGCATAATTCTGAACTCATACTCACTCTTGTCTTTTGATGAAGGCATAGTTTGGCATAACTCAGTTTTATAGAACCTAACATCTTTCTTCGAGGCTGGAGTAATTGACAGTTTGTTGACAGAAACCTTTTGACTTTTATAACCTGAGGAAAATTTGTGAAAAAGTTACGAAATCAGACGCACAAACGTACTTTCTCTGAATAAGCATACCTTATTTTCAACGGATTCGGGTTTCTGACCCCCAAGATATAGGGGATAGTTGCAACGACGGAATATGGTCCCAATAGTTTGATTAGAGAGTGCTCCAGAGTTTAAACCCCTTAATTTTAATTTTACTTATTGCGTAATTTGCTATATCTCGATAACTATTTAACCCCTTCCTTCTCGCTCCCTTGAAAATGACGGGGCGAGGTTTCGCCCTCTATTTTTCGCTCCCGTGATATTTCCAGGCTGGAGTGTAGTACTAACGCGCCAATAAGAATTAAACTAATTCATTTCTTTTGCCCGGAAAACATTTTATTTTTCATTTTATACACCAGATGGCAGTACCAAGATATTTTTAAGGTAATTGTAGACAGATAGTTTATTTTAAGCAAGATGTAAGCACTAATCAATTTTCAGGGATAAAAAAAATAGGCACTTTTATGACCGTTCTCTTGAAAATTAACCGATCGTTAAGGGGTTAAGTGAATTGAAATTGTTTTACACATAATTATAAAATTTGTTTATCCCAAAATGGTTCCATGCTCAAATAACTTTTAGTAAATATTTATTATTTTATTTAAGAATTATCTAAACATAATTCCATGCGAAAAATTACTTTGAGTAAATATTTTTCTATTTAAGAATGGTCCCGCAGTGGACTGATCGTTAAGACACGGTTCCCAGCAGATCACCGAAGTCAAGCATCACTGGCTGCGGTCAGTGTGCGGGTGGGTGACCACTTGGATCAGTCTGCGTAGGGACCGAGGGTGTGCGGTATTGGTCCTCGTTAAACTGTGCTACCGTAAAGTGCTCGACTTCGCGCGCAGGTCGTCGGGCTACCGAAGCGGGGGTGCCATCCCCTCCGCAGAGGATCAAAATTGTGATGGCATGTCTTCGGATCATCCTCCGGGATGTTTCCCAGACCGTCGCCAATAGCCCATTGTGCAGCTCTAGTGCGACGCAAATTAACAACAACAACTATTTAAGAATGCTTGAAAAAAGTTTGAATTGTATGGTATGCAATTTTTTGCATCACTTTAAATAATATAATTTTATATAGCTAAATACAAAATGTTAGCAAAATCGGTCGAATAGTACCTGATAAATTGAATTTCAAAAAAGTATTATACTTATAATTTGATTTCTCAGGAATTAGTCGACCAATTTTGCTGTATAAAATTACATTTCTTGAAAATAGTTGAAACTGAAATGAAGTACTTTCGCATGGGCAAACTCGTGATCAAAAGCTAGTTAAATTTATTCTACCAACGTCTATAAATAGACTGTATTGTTGCAAGTTTGAGGCAACAACTTTCATAACAACCTATTATTTTTGAACACAACTCAAAACATAATAATAGTACATATAAAGATATTTTATAACCGTCCTTCAACAGTCAACCCAATTTTTGGGTTTACGACTACTAATTTTCGATTCCGTAGCCTTGTAATTTTGAACCCAATCCAGAAGACAAGGGAACTCCTAGATCTAGTAGTGGGAAAAATTTACCTTCGTGGAGGACTTTTTGATGGAAATAAATCGCATTTGCGTTACCTGGAGAACAAGAGCACGAGAACCTCCCACGGTTAGCCTGACGGCAAAGGGACTCTAATCCATGATCCGTCTACCACTGAGGATATTTCACGTCAGCACTATAGTCGGTGCAAACCGGATGCGGATTCGTATCGACCAGCCATTGCTGGGATTCTAATCCGGTTCCCCTCATTAAAATATATTACTTTAAAGACAAACAAGTTCCAAAGTACCAAATTCCTCGTCCCGCATTGGACTGATCGTTAAGATACATTTCCCAGCCCTCTACGAGATCATGTATTGAATTTTAGTAAAAATTTAAATTCTTCCCTGCACCTATTAAATTACTCAAACCACCGCAAGTATGAGTTCGTTAAATTTCAACATAGTAGGTACCGGAAATATCAAAATTATTATCATCACTGTCATGAAATACGATAGAAAACAGTTAAGATTTATAATTTCTACAGCCATTTTAAGAAGAATTAAAATTGTGTTTTTATTTCTATTAAAACACAAAATTATTCTTAACGTATAGTTAACTATGCAACACAACTTAATCTATCACTTAAGACTACCTAACAAAAGGAATCTAACTAAATACTTAACGTGTAAATGATTATTTCACACTACTTAAATTATTACTTAAGACATCAAAATGGCTTATTATCAGGGATGAGATTCTTCCGCGGATTTTCGCTTTTTCTCAGATTTTTCCATTTTTCCCGCTAATTTCCACTGAAATGTTTTTTTGCACTAGTTTAAATATTTTATGAGGAATTTAATTTTCCGCGGAGCGAAATTATTGAAGTCCTCATTCCTCCCTCTGAAGTTTCTCTAAAAATCATTTCTTTGGGATAAAACTGGTTGACCTTTATACAGGGATGAGATTTTTTTCGCTTCTATCTCTCGAATTTCAGCCTTTTTATCAAAAACTCTGATTCTCTAAAAGTTTCGTTTTTTTTATTTATTTTTTTTAAATTCAGTCGTTGAAGTCAAATAATTATATTTATTTACGATTTTCAAAGAAAAACAGAAAATTCAAACTACGTCCTAGCTGCTAACCCTTCCGCATGTTTACTTATATTAGCTATTTTCTCCGATTTCACGCACAGAAAATAAGATTTTCCGTATTTTTTATCCGTCGGCGGGATAGCTCGTATTTTCGTAATTTAGACGTCGCTGCTTCTTATATTCTGGAGTGAAAGCAAACAAAAAAAGCGAAGAAAATAGAGGTGGATTTGCGGTGAAAATATTTATTTGCTCATTCAATTAATCTTGTAAATTTTTATTTATTGTGTAAACAAAAAACAATTCAAGGAAGCCTTTTAGAAATCCCAAGTCCAGACTCTGCAAATATCTCGATTTTTATTCACGCGATTTTAATATCAATCATCGATTTTCGTATTTACCTGATTTAAAAGTTGCGCATTGCAATTCTTATTTACGCTTTTTAAATATCGTACATTATGACTCGTATTTACGAGATTTAAAAATCTAATATCGTGTTTTGTATTTTTGCATTTTTAAAATCGCGATTTTATTATCAAACATCGATTTTCGTATTTACCTGATTTAAAAGTTGAACGTTGCGATTCTTATTCAGGCCATTTAAATATTGTACATTGCGATTCTTATTTACGAGATTTAAAAAACCAATATCGCGATTTGTATTTACGAGCTTTTAAAACCCCATGTAGCTACGCGAGCTTAAAATCCATTGTCGTGATTCGTTTTTGCGGTTGTAATATCGCGCGATTTTAAAATTATGCATCGTGATCTAAAAATTACGCATCATGATTTGTATTTTCGCATTTTTTAAATTCGATGTAGAGTTTCATATTCACGTGATTTAAAAGCCTCTTATCGGGATTTATAATCACATGGTTTACAAGTTTAAAAGTCGCACTTTTTTTGTCAAATTTTTGTTTAATTATATATATATATATATTCTTGGATTTCCTCTTTTTTACTTTCTGACTACTCTCATCCCTGTATTATAGATGATTATAGTGTTGCCAATTCAGATATAGTTTCGGTGCCACAGATAAATAAATGTATAGATTCAATAATATTTGTTACTGAACAAAACTTATATTTTACGTCGAGAAATAAAAATGAATGTGTAAGAATTCTGGTAAATGAATGGCATGACTGAAAGAAGTTGTTTTGTATCCCCTTAATATGAGATATTTGCTCCAAAAGGGCGCTGACCGCTAGAAAATCCCCAATAAAAAGGGGATCTGAGGTACGATCGCCTTAGAATGTCCAAGGCAAACCAGAATATGTTCCGGCGAAGCTGACTGAACACACTATTTTTTGCAAGTATTGAAGATCTTTCTGGCTCCCTCAAAAGTACGGCACACAAGATGGCTACTTGCAAATCTGGCCAAAGCAGCAGTATTCCTCGGTCGCATTTAATGTCCAGCATAGTACAAGGGGATGTCCTATGATACCATAGAGTTATAAATAAGAAGGAGTGGGCATTCCTCCCCTTCCCTATTGGCAAGGAGCGGCGCCGCTCAGGTTTTAAGAGGAAGAGTTAGGTTATTCTGGACCTTTTCTCTTATGATTGGAAAATTTCGAAAACGAGATTGAAATAGTTTTGTTGTTAAT